TAATATTTTTATATTAATAGTAGAATTTAAATCTTCAATCTTGTAAATATTTACAAACTGAACAAACCTTTATATGTTATCTATTTATAAGCCATTAAGTTAATTTTGGGCTGGGCTTCATAGGGCCCACTTTAGTGAGGCAAAAGAGTTACTCCAAAAAAATTTTAATAGTTTAAATTATTTAATTTTTTGTTTATATTTTAAAATGATATACCCATCGCATAATTTAATCAAAATTATTTGTTTTTCTCATTAAAAAATGGAGTACCACAAGTCGATGAAATGTCAAAAGCCTCATCAAAATTCATATACTTTTTTTTTGGTCATCAAAATGCATATACTTTAATCTATATATTTATTGTGCTGGTAAAAAAAAAAATCTATACATTTATTGTACTATGATATACAAATCAAAGTTTATAGAAAGTCACAAAACTCGTAAGTTGAGCATAACACTCCACATCTTAGATTTCTTGCAAAGTATAAGTTCACTTTAATTTAATCAGAACAAGCTAAATTAATTCAAGTTTTTTTTTTAAAGTTAAAGTACACATTTGATCATTTAATTTTACACAATATTTTATTTTAATTCTTTAACTTTATAAAATATCTTTTTAGCTCTTTAATTTTAACATTATTAGTCTTATTCTAAAAAAAGTTTATATTAAACCTTTAAATATTGACAAAATATTTTTAAATATTGACATATATAATTTAATTTTTTTAAAATAATAATGATTAACACAAAAAATAATTATTTAAAATTAAAAATATTAGGCTTAATTGATTAAAGGATTAAAAGGATACTTTACAAAATTAAAGGACTAAATTAAAATTTTATATAAAATTAAAAGACTAAAAATATATTTTATTATTTAAAAAAAACATAAACAATAGACTGCAATGCAATTAAATAAAAAATATAACGTGGAGCTGGGGAATGGCTCAACCAATAAATTTGAGATGAAAAAGAAAGTCATGCATTATATCTTTTAAGATGTGACCAATATTTCAAAAAATCATAAAATATCTTTAAGCTGTGCAAAATATCTTAAATTAAAATTAATTACTATTTCCTTCATTAAAAAAATGTAAAATTTTTTTTAAAAGGTTATATGTCTAAAAACATAAGGTAATTTTAATGTTTTAAGGTCTAATTATTGTATTTTTTTAAAGTACTCTAATGAATAAATCAATTTATATTTATTTTAGAGAAAAATATCTTATTAAATATGAGTAAACATGAAAAAATAGTATTAGTTTAAAAATAAATAACTATTTTATTGAAGGGTGAAATTTAATTAAAAATATTTTAAATTTTTAAATGGAGGAAACAGTTATTAAAGTTGACTTTATTTTACCAAGAATATTTTTTTTCAAGGCTTTTTTATATGTTTTAAAAAGATAATTCAACTTTGATAACTTTTAATGTTGCTACATGGCCTTTCATAATTTTTTTAATAGAGACATGATCATATAAAAGATATCAATGTATTGTGTATGTAATAATTTCATTAGAAGATGTCTACCTTCTACCCTCAATATCGTAGGGAAAGATAATATTTATTTTGAGCGGAGTCTACCCTTTTTACTCATAAAAAAAAAAACCAATTTCCCATCTTATTTTCACAAATATTTTATAGCATAATGTCACGGATGATATCTCCGTGACTGTGTAAAGGCCAAGATAACGAACGATCCGCTGGTTAGCCTCGCACAATATGGGTAAAGGGGGCGACGTTAGCATTGGGGGTGTTCTGCCTCAGTCTTCGGACTGAGTGCACAACTGGTCGGGGGCTAGTGCCGCCTCCCTGATGAGCCCATGGCAGGGCGAAATCAGTGTGATCCGTATGTGGTAAGGCTTGTCCTGAGGATTATGGGGTCCTCCAGGACGTCGCACGGGCGCCGTGTGCTACGCCAGACTCTCAGCCCGTGACAGAGTGGTATCAGAGCAGGACGTACTTTGCTGCCGTGTGCGCGTGGGGTCCCACGTTAGGACTGGTCGACCTCGGCACCGCTCCAGAAAGGCCTCCTAGCAGGTGGGTCCAAAAGTGGGGACTCGGGCGGGAAGGTTGGCCGTTGTCGACTCCACTCCTGTTGGCTCGCGGGTGCGAGTGGGTCCGAAGAGTGCAGGACTCGGGTGGCCACTCAGGAGTAAGCTGATGTGTTTGTGGCAGTACTGTACGTACGATCCTTGGGCGGAGTCGTTCTCCCCTAGCACTAGGGCGTGCTAGATTGGGTGTGGGAGAATGTCATGGATGATATCTCCGTGACTGTGTAAAGGCCAAGATAACGAACGATCCGCTGGTTAGCCTCGCACAATATGGGTAAAGGGGGCGACGTTAGCATTGGGGGTGTTCTGCCTCAGTCTTCGGACTGAGTGCACAACTGGTCGGGGGCTAGTGCCGCCTCCCTGATGAGCCCATGGCAGGGCGAAACCAGTGTGATCCGTATGTGGTAAGGCTTGTCCTGAGGATTATGGGGTCCTCCAGGACGCCGCACGGACGCCGTGTGCTGCACCAGACTCTCAGCCCGTGACAGAGTGGCATCAGAACAGGACGTACTTTGCTGCCGTGTGCGCGTGGGGTCCCACGTTAGGACTGGTCGACCTCGGTACCGCTCCAGAAAGGCCTCCGAGCAGGTGGGTCCAAAAGTGGGGACTCGGGCGGGAAGGTTGGCCGTTGTCGACTCCACTCCTGTTGGCTCGCGGGTGCGAGTGGGTCCGAAGAGTGCAGGACTCGAGTGGCCACTCAGCAGTAAGCTGATGTGTTTGTGGCAGTACTGTACGTACGATCCTTGGGCGGAGTCGTTCTCCCCTAGCACGAGGGCGTGCTAGATTGGGTGTGGGAGAATGTCACGGATGATATCTCCGTGACCGTGTAAAGGCCAAGATAACGAACGATCCGCTGGTTAGCCTCGCACAATATAGGTAAAGGGGGCGACGTTAGCATTGGGGGTGTTCTGCCTTAGTCTTCGGACTGAGTGCACAACTGGTCGGGGGCTAGTGCCGCCTCCCTGATGAGCCCATGGCAGGGCGAAACCAGTGTGATCCGTATGTGGTAAGGCTTGTTCTGAAGATTATGGGGTCCTCCAGGACGCCGCACGGGCGCCGTGTGCTGCACCAGACTCTCAGCCCGTGAAAATAAGCTATATTAGTTTAAAAGGAAAAATTAATTTGCAGGTCCCTATAATTTCTCCAATTTTTAAATTAAGTCCCTATAATTTATTTTATTTTAATCAAGCTCTTGTTGTTTAATCAATTAAATATATTAATCTCTAAAGCTTATTAATTTTCAAAGAAAAACTCTTTTGGAGTTCATACAAAATTTGATTTAATGTTTTTGGCCAAAAATTTTAAAAAATTTGACTAAACACAATATTTCCATTTTTATTAAATTTTTATGAAAAGTTTATTTCCATTTTTATTAAATTTTTATGAAAATTTTATGTGCATAAAAATATTTAAAAAACAACCAAATTATAAAAATTTTGAGTTATAAAAATTGAGTAAGTAATTCTAAAGCTATATAATTTATTAATAAAAATATAAAAGTTTTTAATTTTAATTTTTTTAAAAATTTAAATTTTTTAACTTTCATATATTAAAAGATTAATTAATCAAATTATTAGAATTAAAATAAAATAAAATAAAATTAATTATAAAGATTAATTTAAAATAAAAAAATTATAAACACTTTTAAATATATTTTCCTATGGAGCCTATTTTCTTTGTTTTGTTATGGGATGGAGACTAGTTCCTCACTCTAGTTAAAAACAAAAAAAAAAGAGGCTGAATTATACTTTTAATTCTCTAATTTTATGTCAAATTTTAATTTAATTTATTAATTTTATAAAATATCTTTTTAATTTCTTAACTCTAACATTATGGATTTTAAATGATTATTTTTTGTGTCAATCATTGTTATGTAAAAAAAATTAAACTTAATATATCAATATTTAAGAACATTTTGTTAATATTTAAAAGTTTAATGTAAAAATTTATTAAAATAAAACTAATGGTGTTAAGATTATATAATTAAAAAGATATTTTATAAATTTAAAGGATTAAAATAAAATATTAAGTAAAGTTAAATATTTATATGTATAATTTAGCAAAAAAAAAAAAAAAAACAAACAAACAAAAAAATTTCTTTTGGTGCCACAATGTTTGGGAGACGAAAATGAATAGAAGATGGAGGGCGATTGAAAGGTTTCCACGAAGGTCATCGGAAAAGCTTTGATTTTTCATTTTTCTGTGATTTGCAATTCCAGCACTTCTCTCTTATCCAATGTTTGTTCCCTGCAGAAAGCAAATTCTGAAAATTCTGATGATTCAACAAGATTCCCTCTCCATTGCAGAAACTATATTAGGTTTCTTTCACCCCCTGTTCAGTTCATTTCCCCCCTTCTTTTTTAATGCCTGCTCCTTCAAAAATAAAAAATAAAAAATAAAAAATTCATAAGTTATATTGATTACAGACAATTTTTTTTAAAATAAAATAAAATAAGGTCTTAACTGGGAACTTTCCCTGAAACTATCCTTATCAGATTTGGCGTAACAGTTGGTTAGTCAGACTCACCTCTTGCCAGAATTCCAGCTGTGAAATTGAAATCCAGCTAGCTGCTCTATCACTGTCTTCCTCATTTCATTCATAGTTGTTATGTATGCCATTCAAGCTCTGCATTCATGCTTAATACTTCTCAAATCTGAAACTACCATAAGATTATATGACAGTAAATGATAGTTAATTATACTTAAGTTATTTGTACTGTAGATGTAGACTTAGCACTATGAATTTATGTAAATCAATCATCATTATGACTACACTGATTAGGAAAATGGTGTGCCAATGCTTTAGAAAGGTCCGATTCAACCAACCACACCGACTCCCACCTTCATTATCAAACCTTGAAAAAGCAAAAATCAACCAAACTCGCAAAATTTTATTCATTTTAAAACACTAAATGGGAGACAGAAGCACAGGTTTGGGACTTTGGTGTTTAAGAGGTCTTGTGGGGTCCCCCTTTTATTTGCCTTTGAGCACAAATGACAAACAGAATGCAATTGGATTTTTTCCTCCACCGAAAAAGTTAAAACAGCTTCAATGGCTCCTTTCTGTCTTCTGCTGCATAAACAAATCTCTTCTCAGATCATCTAACACAGTCCTTCACCATTGGTTTCTTTCATCAAAATCGTTCATTCATTCGTTCTCAATGTTGCTAAGAAACTCAGTTTCCAACACCAAGAAGTTCTTCAGAAGGACTCTCCAGAATTTCAAGTCTTTCTTCTCTACAGGATACGAAAGGCTTCCAAAATCTTCACCTTCTCCTCTAATCCACATGAATACACTTCATCAAAGTCATCATCCAGAGTTGGAGAAGCTCAATGCTCATCACCAATGGGATTCAGAGAAAAAGAACGCAGAGAGGAGACAGGAAATGGAGGATGAGGATGAGGAGTATCATGAGAGTCCATTACTGAAGAAGGAGAAGAAGATGATGAAGCAAAGAGACAATGAGAGGAACATGATAAGCCATCAAAAGGGAAGGCAAGAGGATTCACCAGTGAGAAATTATATGGTTGAAAGGAAGCTGAGGGAGCTGGAGATGCTGGATATGGGGAATGTGGAATATGTATTGGACATTGAAGAGGTTCTTCATTACTATTCTAGGCTCACGTGTCCTGCATATCTTGAAATTGTGGATAACTTCTTCATGCAGATGTACTCTGAGTTCTTGTCTCCTGTTTCTTCTAAGCTACCCCTTCCAAATCAATAAGCCTATCTTCCTTCTTACTTGATTCTCTCTGTTTCTTGACCCTACATGATTAGAGCTATTTGGTCTGTTTAAATAATTTAAATTTGTTTTCTCTGTTTCAATTATTCATGATTTGTATAGGCATCTGCATTCCGCATACAAATACAAACTATACCTCCAGGAAGTTGCACTTACTCTGTAAACGTAAAATGCCTTCTCAGATACCTTTATGGTTAGTATCTCTTGAGATATCAGATCAGAAATTTCTTTTAGCTCAATTTGTAGGAATGGAAGGTGATTATAAATTCATGTTATGCGGTTCAAGACGAACAGACTGAGTGGTAAGAGACTAAACAGTTTCTATGGTTCGAAGCTGATACATTAGAGGATTGATTTTCAAATGTTATCAGCCTTCTCTTTTGTTTGATTCCTTGCTGAAAGATTCTGTGCAGATAATGCTGCTTCTGATATATATAAAAATGAACTCACCTACAAGGTTGATCCACTATTGTCTACCACAATGGCACATCAAACAATAAACTTTTCCTCTGAAGATTCTCTCTTTCCAATTAATCCAGTTACAATTTATAAATCTGGTTGTTTATTTTCTCCACCAAAAAGACTCTTCCATGACCTATATTAAATTATGTCAGTGCAGGGTTGGTCCTTATTTTGTTTGTCCAAGGTGTCTCCTTTTCTACTTCCTTATTTCAAGACTACATTTTCTTTTTTGTTTTCTTTAACCTTAAAAAAGTTTTTCATAACTTTGTTGTTGTCCAAAAAAAGAAGTGTCCATCTATGCAATAATAAGATAAAGCCCATTGATACTTAGGCTTGACTCATCAGACTCAACTATAGTCTGGCCCATGAAGCATGCTTGTATAGCTGATAATAACATCAATATGACTTCCAAGTCTGGTTGGCTTATATATCGTTATGTTATGCTGGTCCTTGAGGATAATACTGATACACCAAAGCCAAAGCCCACTGAGAAAGTCTGTGTTCGGAATCTAGGAAAGCAAGAATCAGAATTCACCGGCTGCTGCAGAGAAAATGAAAATGGAGGAAATATCTAGTGACAGTGATGGAGCTAGAAGGCAAATCCAAGAAGATGGGATTGGGGGGTGGATAGATGCAAGCCACTGTATAGAGCACTAAGGAAAGTGTCAATTGAAACCTGACTCTCGAGGTAAAACTAGGGATAGAGATATGATTCCCCAAAATAGGAAACAATTGATTCTATGATCAGAACTGCATGATCATTGATCAACTGTCACTTCCATGAGATCCTGCAAAATACTTGATGAAAGATATAATGCATATACTTGATTTTCAACCCCACATTGTTAATGGGGTTATCTTTATTTCTTAAAATGAGCAGCACAAGGAAGGAAGCAAGTGAGGTAATTAATTAAATTAAGTAGTGTGTTTAATTAATGGCTTTGGAATCACACAATACTTGGGGATCAGGGAGGAATATTAATGAGCAAGACATAAAGTAGTTGAAAGTGGTGGTCCATGTAAGTCCAGAAAGATGACAAGTAGCCATCTGCAAAATTCCTTTTTCTCTCTCCAAGAATAATGCTTCTGACGACTCGTCATCTTCACTAGCATGCATGTCTTGCCCTTTTCATCAGATGAAATGAAGCTACCGCACCCTCTAAATCTGCTTCTTTTTATATGTTTTTTGATCTCTACTTTTTCTGTACGTTATAGCTTTTAATTAATCTTGTTTCCTACATGAAGCATCTTATCATTCTCGAGTGAAATATAGTGGTGACTGGTGAGTCATTGATTTTGAGTACTACACAAGAAAAAAAGAGTAAAAGGAATTAGCCAGCTATAGAGCTATAGGTATAACTATATCTTGAAGATTCCACCTATAAATGGGTTTGTTTCTGTATTTGTGTATACACACACAAGAGTACTTATGCAATGAATTGAGAGAAAAGCATAGTATGGAAATTTTGGTCTACATGTGCAGTTGAACCGGTAAACTATTAAACCAATATTTTAATTGATTCAACAAAATGTTTAGTTTATGACTGATTTAATCATGGTTGAATTACAATTTTGATTATTGATCCTTGAATTAATATCTTGATCGGTTTAATGATCAGTCTAGTTTTCGGTATCTTGAAAAAGAATTACATATTTCAGTACTGCACAAAATAGTTAATAAAGTAATCATAATCTAATGATTAGTGTGAAGTCACCTTCAAGGGTGATGAATTTCTTCATCCAAAATTTAACGCAGATGGTCCTGCAGAAATATATATATATATATATATTTAATACCCAAATCATACGGTTCTACACAATAAATTACTTGGACCACGTATAATAAAGGCAGTAAATATTGGGAAGAATAATATAGAAATGGTCCAGATGATGATGAAGCATGTGCATCGTGTGTAGTTGCACAACACAAAAGCGAAGAGAGGGTTAAGATCATCTGGTGTACCAGTGGTATCACGTGTGAGCTGGACCAAAAATCATAACTTGTTTCTATATTGTAGTTTACATTTTGTAGGGCAAGTCCTTAACTTCAAGGTTTGAGGATCCTGCAACTGCCATATCCGCACACCCTATATAAACTTTTCCGCAACCAATATTCCTAACACTTCAAGAAAAACGGTTTCCTATAGAGTCAATTCTATATATTAAGAAGCTTACATAAAAAATTACCCAATCGTTTAACATGCATTGTTCTCTCTATCTCTCTCTCTCTCTTATTTAAAAGTCATATAACTTTGTGTTGGTTCATCAACAACCTAACATAAATTAATAATTAATAATAACTAATGATTATTTACAATAACTTTTCATGAAAAATAGCATCCATTAATATATAGATTTTTTTCTTTTAAAAAATACACTTCCTTTCATCAAATGACACCTTTGAGTTTTATAACCTTTCAAAGATGACTTTAGAAATTAGAGAGACATGACTTTGATGACTGTAATTCCCTACATAACACTTCATAAAAACTCCTTAATTAATTTATAAGGATATGACTTTTTAAAAAGACATCTCTACATTTTCAAAATATGCCAACAATGGTATGTGTTTGCCCGCATATCCTCTATCTATGAACAAGGTTGGGTTGGAAAAAACAAAACCCAAATTAAAATGGATCTTTTATGACCTGGATGACTAGATAACTCATAAATTAAATGGGCTAACCCTAATGGTTAGGATTAGCTAGTTTAACCCATATTATTTTTAAAAAAATTGAGGAATGAAAAATGGAAGGACTTTTGGCATTATAACTCTACAAGACGAATTGGAATGAGTTATGGATCAATCTCATATATTTATTATATGTTTTTTTTAGTTGTATGAAATTTTATATTGGAACTTTTCATTTAATTAGGTGTTTTTTTTTAAATTCATACAATAAAAAATTAGATGGGTTGGTTGATTGACTCATTTAACCTACTAACCCCCAAAAGTTGATTAGGTTAGCATTTTACAACTTATATGAAAATGGGTTGAACCTAATTCCACCCATATGGTCCGAATTGACTCATCTTTCCTGCTAAATTTCTAATACATACATACATACATACATACATACATACATACATACATATACATATACATATACATATATATATATATATATATATATTCATGACCTAAAAAATAGTTGAGAGATTATAGTGATTGTCTTGTTCTGAGTCCTCATGCTTGGCCAGTTCCACCTTCAATTATCGATCACAATCACCATACGTTGATCATATTCATATATATCTACACCTCACACACACACTCTCTCTCTCTACACACACATAACATTATCATGATCTAATTGCTAGCTACTTCTGCAACGACTTGCCATACCTTCCTCTTACAATTAGTCTCTATCATCACTACAATCAAGCATTGTCATATCCATTAAGGCCAACTTGCCTTCAAATTTATCAGCTAACTATTAGTTTACATATGCAGTGCATAGACAGCTTTATCAGCTCACTGCAATATATACACACACATATATCTGTCTCATTCTAAGCTGTGTATGTGTGAATGTCTTTTAATATAATTTGAAGTTGTTGGCGGTCAATTTTAATCCACCGTATAACGATTCTAGAAGAAGATGGAGGAGGTGGAAATGGGGTAAGGCAATAATTAGTAGGGAAGGGAATGGTGGTCCATCAATAATTTGATGCTGATGATATTTATAGTGAAGGTTGGAAATAATATGATGAAGTGTTGATGATGATCAGATTCAGAACATATTGAAAGCCTCAAGATTCCAATTCGTAAGGGCTGATGATGACGATGAAACCTACGTACTGGGATTGGTCGGCATAATATAACACACAGCACACCAATAACGTTTCTGTAAACTCATTCCTAGCTAACATTCCTGTCCTTTTCAATCTATATATTCTGATTTCCATATCAATTCAGATTTACGTCACTTTTCTGCAACATCTCTTCTACCGCCACACCACTTGCCTACTAGTAATTACCCTTGTTTAGATTATGACTCAAATCTTTATGATACTTTGTGATTATTTTGATATATTATCTTGGTGTAAATCTATCATATCTCTATTTGATATTTTAGGTGATATTTATTATTATCTAAGATAATATTTTTAGTTAATCAGAAGCTTTATATTTATCTTGTCTCTCCATCTCCCATAGCAGAGACAGTTATTATAATTTTCATTTTCTATAGTGAAATTATTCACTCGTTGTCCATGGGTTTTTTTTATCCCTCAAAGTTCTTGTGTCATCTTTTATCACTTTCTCTAACTTCTCTATAATTTTCAATTGTTTTATCATGTTTACTTCCACTGATTAATTACATACTTCCTAACAAGTAGAACCAAAGCCTAGTTTTCAATTGAAAATTTTTCAAGATATCTACTGTTACAAAGTTTGACATTGAGAAGTTTGATGGCAAGATTAGTTTTGCTATTAGCGAGTTCAAAGGAAAGTTATTCTTACTCAAAATAGGTTGAAGAAAGCTTTATTTGGAAAGGATAAAAAGCCGATGATTATGTCTGTAACAGCCCTCAC